CTCACGGCCGCTCTGGGAGCGCAGGCTGGGCAGGATCTTGGTCTAGGAGTGCTGACCGGGGTGCGAGGGCTGTGGAGCACCGGGGTTTCCTCTCCCAAATCCCCAGGCCCTGAGCGTTGGGGAGGACGTTAAAAGCAGAAGGACCAGGGCCCAGGCCGCCTTCCCTAACGCCCCAGGAGCTGGGCTGCGAGAAGGCCGGGAGGTGAACCTGGGGGGACGCCTGGAACGGGGGGCGCGTGTAGGGGGCGCCTGCACCTGAGACTCCATCAGAGCGAGGAGACCCGAATGGATAGGTGTGCCTGCGGGGCCTGTAGGTCTCTCCTGCCGTCTGGCCACGCAGACACGCTGAGGTCACAAAATTGCCACCAGCATCCCTGCTCCGCTCTCGTCCAGACAGGAAGGACAGTGTACAGCTGGCGCGAGGAGAAAGGGCGGTTGAGCTGGAGAGTGTCTTTCTCCACCAGGACCTACTGGGCATTTGTTTACAAATGTCAGCCCCGACCCGGCATTCACAACACCACCGGGGACGGCGATCGAGACTCCCCCACTCTCCTCATTTCGGGTCCATAGAAAGCCCAGGGGTCTGCAAGCCTCTGAGAAGAGGATCAGAGGTCTGGGCAGCTGCACCTACTCACTCGGCCTGGCTCGGCTCCTTGCGGCCCGTTAGTCCTGAGGGGCAACGCCCCTTCCGGCACCCGGGACGACGGAGGAGGCGGGGTCCGGCCGGGTGGCCGGCGGTCTGGGCCTCCCCGCGAGCTACAAACTGGGGCGTTTGGCACAGGCGGCGGCGCAGGGCGCAGAGGAGGGCGGCACTCAGGCGGGGAGGCCGGGAAGACCTTCAAGGACCCCGATTACTTTCCTTGAATGAAAAACAACAACAACAACAACAACTGCTCCCTCTCTGTACCCCCGCCCCCCGCCGTAGCCTCTGGGGGGACCCGAGCTCCAAGCAATTGTGGCCGGGGACAGTAAACACAGCTCAGTTGCCTCAACTTTCTCCGCACATAAAAGTTCCCGGCGCGCGGTGAAATTTGAATATTTGATCAGCCCCTTTGAGTGACCCTCATTAGCCTGGCGCCCTGCTAAGGCCCCGCCACTGCAAGAAAGCTGCTGGGCCCGGCATTTGAAAGCCTTGTTAGCGCCGCTTAATGAAGCCGCCCCCACGGCTCAAAGGTGGCCTCCGGGGCTGGCGGCGGGCACCTCTGCACCCTGCTCTGCCTAATGAGCCCCACCGCCACCGCCTCCACCTCCCACGTCCTCAGTCGGGGAGTTTGGCTCTATCTTGGGCCATTGCACTTCCCACTGGCAGGCTTAGGAGAGCGGGCACCAACCCAGCCCAGCCCGAGAGAGAAAGAGAGAGGTGGGAGATGTGGAGGACAGGAGCCGTACAGGTTGGGGATTGGATTTTGAGGCCCCGAGTTGTAGCCCAGGCAGTGCACTGCTAACCTGTCCCAAATTGGCCAATTAGTCACCCCAGTGCCTTAAAGATGTACCTGGCCTAATATGGGGACAGCAGAGGACAGATGCCCAGGGGTGGGTCAGCTTTCCATCCCCAAGTTCCTTTGGTCTCCACTACCCAGGAGGCCACCTGCTCCTTTGCAGGGATGCCCTCATGACAACCAGAGTTGGTGTGCTAGGACTCAGATTTGGAAAGGGATGTGCACTCTCACCTCCTCAAACCATGGTTGCCCTC